GTTATTTTAGTTGTTTGTGTTGTTAGTTAGTTTAGTAGCGTGTGTTTTTATTCTAGCGTTGCTAGCCGGGATTCTAGGCGGTCTTCTGACCTGTCCTCCCTCTTTTTTCAGTTGTTGGTTGTTGTATATTCAGCCGTTGACTGCTGTGTATTCGCACATTTGTGCCTTTTGATTTATAAAATTCCTATCGTTTCGAAAAAAAATTATGAATTGGTTTCTATTTTATTTTATTTTTTTAAAATCTGATAGATAAGTGATGAGATTTTTTAAACTCGTGAGACGTACGCAATGAGATTTTGTAATACGCAATGAGATTTTGTAACAAATAAGAGATAAACTCGTGAAGATTTATGCTATGAGATTTTATAAGCTATCAATTATTTTTAATATGATTTCGTAATGATAGATTTTTATATAATATCAACACAATCTGTTATTTTGTTAACTTATAAAATAAAAAAAAGGGAACCATCAGACAACCAACGCACATTTATTCATTAAATGATTTTGGCGGTAAAATTTGGCGGGGAATCATAAAAAAATTATTCTTTTTATATAATGATGATAGATTTGTTCAGTGAACCATTGGATTACGATTGTGTATAGAGATTTGTGTTTGAATATGAATTTTCACGAAATGTCTTTCAATCTCTTTGTACTTTTGACCAAAGATTATATAATGACACACTTAAAAAGTGTCATGTATTGAAAATTGCAAACAATACAATTTCGTGTCACAATAATCTACATTAATGATGCTATAAAAAAGTGTCATGTATTGAGATTTACCGACGCTAAAATTTTATGTCACAACTCGTAATAATATGACGCGCTAAAAAAAATATTCACTCATTAAATATTACTTACAGAAATATATTGTGTCACTACATTATGTACTAACGACGTACTTTTGAAAAAGTGTTGCCCATTGAAGATTACCTACGTATCTAGATTGCGTCACATATAGAGTCGTGACATTAAATTTAGCAACGTAACTAGTGACAATTTTGCAAGTGTAGGTAAATTTATTTGTGACACTAATAAATGTCACCGAATAAAAAAAAATAAGCATCTCTAAATTCAGTTTTTATTGACGCATGCGTAGTAGTTCATATCAGTTGCTCGGGAGAATCAAATATTCACCATAATCATATTTCCATAATAAACTTTATTTGGAGAATCAAATATCCCCAATAGTTAGCGTAATTCACGCAATTTGGATAATCAGATTATTTCCATGATTCACTTTATTTGGCGTATATAATCGTGTAAGTCCAGTACATATTGACACAAACTTAACATGTCAGAGTACTTGATAAAATTTCTCGTCTTCTCAACTCTTCTTCTTGGGGCAACAGCATCACGAGCGTTAGCCCCATTCCTCTCGCCATTAGACGAGAAAAGGTATTGCGTTCTTACAAAAAAAGTACATATTAATGTGGTCAATGCCATTCCCTCGTCCAGTTTGTGGTTGCACATTGTGAAGGGAAATGACGATAAAGGGTACCGTGTCCTGTCCACGGATGAGGAGTTTCACTTCGATTTCTGCTATAATCCCAAAGATCCTGATTATGTTTGCACGGCTTTGTGGGCTGGGAAAACATCGACTTTCTATTTATTCAAATATGACCAGAACATCTGCGAGAATGACACCTGTTATTTCGAGGCGAGAAGCGATGGCATATACTGTCCGGATGATTCTAATCATCAACAACTAAAGAAGATCCAAGGCTGGAGCTGAATAAGTTCTGCCGACTGCAATCGTTATTAGAGTTGCAGCACTTTGCAGTCGTTCTTGATCATTTCATTTAACTTCATGAATAAATATATCGAATATTTGAACCGTTAGTGCTGTAAGCATTTCTTTTTTTTTTCTTAAATATTATAATTCTATAAAGAAAAATACAGACCCCATTTCTCGCGAAAAAAAAAAATACTAATCATCAAGCTCGTCGGCACCTTCTTCAATTTCCCGTTGATTTTCCTTTCTCAACGGCTTACCGGGCGTGTCGGTGGTCTTCTCCTCGCCGCTCACCCATGGCCGTATTCATGGCGACCCTCTCTGCTTGCTATTGAATGGTGGTACGGACGGTTGTCGTCGCCCGAACTTTCCGTCTTTTCGGTTCCGGTTCGTGGCGGCACACTGTCGGGTCGGTAGTAGGGCAGAGCGGGGTGCAATGTCGGAGGATGGGTGTGACCCGGGCTTCCTATGTCATCCTTGTTGGGACAACTTCTCACGTCTTCCTCCTCAGACAGGCCCGCATCCGGGCTTGTTGTATTGCAGGGGTCTTCGGTGGTCTATGGTCGATGGCTCTTTAGATTGTAGCGGAGCTTGGGCCGGGCTGTTGGAATTAGCCTTATGCGAAAACCATCGCTTTATCTCAAGAGCACTCATATCAAATAATCCAAAACCAAACTAGATAGCGGAAACGTACCTTAACTGAATTTATGGATCACGTGGAACATGATTTGGATCACGCACACCCTTGATCACGAACAAGGTCAATTTTATGGTCTTCCTCAATTAGATCGCATTATTCCTCAATTGGACCAATTTTGATGGGGGAGAAAAAAGAATTATATTTGACTTAATGTATTGGGAACCATAACCTAAAGGTCTTTATATACTACTAGAGTAGGCCACCAATTATCACCTAACTCTAGTAATATTAGGTATCGGCCTTGTTTGGCGATCAGCGGATAGTAGATAGCGGATAGTGGGTTGTATCAACCGATAGCGGATAGTGGATTATATTAGCTGGTCGGATTGCATCAGCGGTTTTTAAATAAGTGTTTGGTAAATAGCTGAAAGCTTATACCTGTTTGAAATTGTAAAATAACCAATAATGATATTTTATTATTTAGGGTGTATTCTTTTAATAATAATATATTAAAATATTTGATATTATTTAGTTGGTAATTTATAAATATATATATATATTTAAATTTACTAACACTTGATGAAAAAGTTATGAATTTTATATTTTTCTAGATAAATTAATCATATGAATGATATATTATTATTTATTAGCCATAAACCAATGTGATTGTAAACTAAATGATACAAATTAAAAAGTTTCAAATAAACTATTTTTGTGAATCTTCTATCCAAAAAGCTGCTCTAATGAGCTTTTTCTAAACTAGAGTTTTGCGCCCAAAAAGCTTATCAAATAAGTTATTTACCAAACAGGCTCAATAGCGGATTTGACGGGTCAAACCTCTCTATTAAGTCCAATCCGCTAATTTATCTTCAATCCGCTATCTTCCAAACGAGGTCATCGACCAATTAGCCCATATCAATTTACATAGCCATAGACTCTACTTTATTTAGATCACTTAATTGAGTTTATTAATTAAATTGAATAACTAACATAATTGTATATAGTATGTTTCCCACAATTAGATTATACATAAGAATTAAATATTCTTTAACGATCTCCCACTTGGGCAACATATATATTATTTCCTCATCAATTATGTTATTTCCTTGGTTGCACAACTTTATGTTATTCATCTCCAGACTACCTTAAACAATATGGTCCATCTCATATATTAGCAATAGAACTACCACGGCTTTCACCACAATACAAATCATGGTTAAACCCCGACAATCATTATACTAGTACACTCAATGACATAGATCAAATATGGTGAGTGGCATGAAAATTACATGCAATGTGATCTTTATCATGTCTATTTCTAACTGGTCAAACTTTAAATTCTTAGTGAGATCAATCCATAAATGCAACACAAAGTTACAAAAAAAGAAAACTTTAGTGATTCATAACGAATCAGAACCATCAATTTTATTCTGCAGAAAACTGAAGTTATAACATTAAAGAAAACGTTGAACACCAACTCCCACTGAACTAAGGCAATATCCATAATAACACTTATATGAGCGGTATACTCATAAAATATTTCACTTGCTAATACCTTAGTAGGGGTGTTCACGGTCCGGATTAGTCCGGTTTTAGCCCAAACCATGACCAAACCGGACCTAACGGTTAATTTTTTTCTTCTCCATAACCGGACCGGTTTTATTTTTTAACCAGCCACAATCCGGACCGCATTGGACGGTCCAGTTTGGTGGTTAACCGGTTAAATCCAAAATCCTTGTTTTGGGCTTCCAAATTTTTTTTTTCTATTTTGGGTTTAATTTTTATTTTTCAATTTTGGGCCCAAAAGAGATTATTTGGGCCTAAAAATTAAGAAAAACAACAATAATGAAATAAAAAATACACAATTCGTCCTATAAGCATAAAAATACACATTTCGTCTCAAAAAATTAGGAATAGGAGGTGGGAAAATTTGAAAATGAAAAAATGAAAGTGGGAAAAGTGAAAAGTTATAGTGTCTTACAAAATTAAATCAACAAAAGACCAAAAAGTGAAAGTGAATGTATTGTATTTGTCAGCAATAGTGAATGATTGAATGTCTATATATATTTGTTATAAGTTTTTAACATTTACCAGTCCGGTCCGGTTAAACCGGCGGTTTGCCGCAAGTAATCCGTTAACCGAACCGGTTATTCCAGATTTTTAAAAAAATTAACCACCAGATTTTTTAAGGCTTTTTTAACCGACCATTTAACCGATTCGCGGTCCAGATTGACAGTTTTTTTCGGTTAAAACCGGACCGTGAACACCCCTATACCTTAGTATCCCTTATAATAGAGTTATGAATTTGCTAGCATAATTTCATCCTTATGTTTCAATAAAATATTCATCAACATGAATTTTATCTTTAGCAACAAGAAACTTTATGAACAATTTTTGTTGCTAAAAAAATGGCGGGCCAACATTATCACAATAGAACCTTAGTGGTATTCATCAAGACCATCCGAAACATGCAGCCTAGTGATAATATTATGCAACCATAACCTTATAAGTTTTTTTCAAATAAGCCTAGTGTCTGCTTGGCGCACTTTCCGAATTAGTTCTTCCCACTAGAAGTTAATGTAGCTTGACTTCAATTTGGATCGTTTAACTTTACAGACATCCAATAAACTCAAAATTAGAGTTCCAAATGATCTCCTAAATGATCCAATAATCCTTAAGTAAGTCTAAACTCTCTTTTGTTCACAAACAAAACTTTATAAACCCTTTGGCTGCATTCAATGGGTTAATAATCAAGATTCACTCATTTGTCAAATCAAATTTATTTGGAATCGAAATGCATATTTATGTGGAATCAAGATTCACTCATTTTGAAAATGCAAAAGATTACCAACCATATTTATATATCTTCTACATTCTAATTATACTCATTCTTAGGACAATTTAATTTATTTACCTCGATAAAAAAATGAGATAACTACTTAATATAATTGTAATAACATTGAAGGATTCAACTTAATATCAAATGCTTCAAAATAACATAGATTACAAAGGGTTTCTTATCAAAACCAAAAGAAAATACTCTTGTATCCAAAATCTTTATTCAGATGAAAATTATGTTGACTAGACATACCTTATGTCTCTCATTAGAGCACCCACAATGCTTTGGGTCTCTTTTTGTATATGTGGCAAATAAATACACTTAAGTCCATAATGACATGGACAAACCCAACCTAAAAAATCCAAAATATATCCAATGCAAAACAAATAAATATTAGGTCTAGAATACTAAACAACCAATAGAAATATAGTTATAATAAATGCATACAAAAAAAATGTGTTTTGCCTATTAAAAAGAAAAAGAAAATTATGAACAATTAATGACTAGGTGGGTTTGCACTTGGGTCCAAAATAGACCCAAATGTGGACTTAGTCTCTTTTTTCTAGTGCCACATAAGTTAGACTATGTCCACTTTTAATTGGATTGTGAAACATTTTTTTATAGACTAGGTCTATTTCCTATATGACATGTGATTTTTTTATAAGAGACCCAAAGCATTGTGAGTGCTCTTATTGTCTTTTGAATCCATTAAGCCATATTTATCACCAAGTAGACTTTTGACTATTTGACAAGATCTCATAGGGACAATTCATAACTTGCATTTTAGGACCATAATCTTAGAATTTTGTAAGACTTTTTAAAAATCCAATTGAATACCTCGATATTTTTAAAATTCTTAACAAATCTAAATTAAATACACAATTTTTAAATTCATAAAAAATTCTTAGAAATCCTAATTGGAATACACTCGTCTTTTCAACCTATTGTTTCGTTAAAAAAGAAAAAAAAACACTTCTGACCCATTTCTACACTTCCCTCTTGTATTAATTGCAAAACTTTCTTTCTCCCACCAAATTGAATCGAAGACAAACAAACACAGGTACTGGTGTAGCCATGTTAAGAGCTTCAACCCTCCACCTTCCCCCCTTCGCTTCCGCTTCGCCGTCGCCCTTCTTTGCCCTTCTTCCAGCGCTAGCCGTTCATTGGAACTTGCCCTCCGCCCTGCTGCGAAACCCTCAGCCGCATATTGACCTCAGAGTCACGCAGCCGTTCTCCGTCGCTCGCCATTTTTGTCAGGGTTTTACCTCTAGATTCGGTGGTGGTCCTCTCATGGCCGGTCAACCTTCCATCCCCAGGGCCACAGGTTTGTCATTAATGTTCTGTCAGAACATAAAATACGTCTTCGTAATCTATGACGATCTTTTTGAATTTTGATTTTTATCCTATTAGTCTTGTTGAATTTTTTCCCAATTTGCGTGTGTTGATAGACGGCATTCTTTTATTTATAATGGTTTTTGTTCATCTTCTTTGTGACGTTGCTTAACTGCTGGTAATGGTCAATTGGGCTCATATTTGGATAAGGTCCTCAGATATGTTCTACCTGCGAACTTTTCAATTAAACACAACAGTAATAAACATTGGTTTGTTTCATAGTTGTCAATCAGTTGATATGCAGGGAAAGGAGTGTGTAGCATTAGCTGCTTTGTTTCGTTTATAATGTATATCTCGAATTTCCTTTAGTTTGATAATGGTTTAAATTATGGACAATCTTCAGCTTCATTCAGCTCAGGAAGCGCCTCTGGAGGAGGTAGAGAAATATTGGTGCAGCATTTGCTTGTGAAAGAAGATGATCAAAAGCTTTTGCTTGAGCTACTGAAAAGAGCTGCTGAAGGTTGGTGATCAATAGTTTTTCGTCTAATATTACTTTCTTTGATTCTTCTTCAGATGATGGGAGCCTTTCTGTATTTGTCACCATTTACTAGGCCAAAATTTCATGTGTTGAAGTTGTGTGAGGCATGATTAAAGAAAAATAAAAATCTAATCATTGATGAGTTGTCTATAAGGATGGCAAGTTGTAGAATCAGTGAAGCTTTGTCTTTCATTTATGTGTGGTTTAAAAGAACATAAAATCATTTTTGTTTTCCCTCTATATCATTTTGGTGGCATAAATAAAATTTATTGTTAAATTCAGGAGAGGATTTGAGTGACTTGGCTGTGGAGTACTCAATATGTCCATCGAAAGAGGAGGGAGGTATGCTTGGTTGGGTGCGGAAGGGGCAGATGGTAAGCTGCTATGTTAGTTAACCCTTTTACTATTTTTTCGGGATCAGGATAGCGAGATTATTATTTTCGTGATTGATAACGTGAATGATCATTTTGCCCATGGGTTATTGAACATGAAGAAGCAGTAAATCCATATTGTTTATCTTAAGAAATCAAAATTCGAGTACTAATTTGTACCCTTCTGATATGATATGGTGAATGTTTCCTAAAGAGTTTGTTATACTATGCTCCAAGCTCTTTGAAATTTGTACTCCCCATAAATGAGTAGCAGTAGAAGTTGAGCCATAAAAAAAATAACCTGCAGTCAGCTCTTTGCTTCAATAATGTCGGTGTCAGTACTAACAGAAGGAAAAACTTCACATGGATCCTGCTATTTTTCGAAGTTTTTTCTTACAATATTTTGACTTGTGATTCGTGTGCCTGTAATTCATCTTTTTGTCGCACTTTCGCATTGACAATTCCCTTAGTTTTTCTTTTCTTTTTTCCTCTTGTTCTTCTTTTGTCTTAACTTATTTTGATATATATCAGGTGCCGGAGTTTGAGGAGACTGCATTTAGTGCTCCACTAAATAAAGTTGTAAAGTGCAAGACCAAATTTGGTTGGCATTTATTGCAAGTTCTGTCTGAAAGGTTAGATACCAAGGGTAACTGATGCAAGTTTTTCCAAGAACTGGACTTCCAAGTTTTTGATTGATTTGTTTATTTTTTATTTGTCTCTTACTGTCTGCTTCTACACACAGAGAAGAATCAGTTCTTGAACACGTTCAGCCCAGTGAACTGCATGATAAAATGCGAGATGCATCTTTCCTTGAAGAGGTCCAGCTAATTGATGTCAGAGAACCTGATGAAGTGTATGTTCCTAAATTTGCATCTCTACATTTATGAAACAGAAAAAGTAACTACGAAAAAGTAGTTGGTGAACGAAAAAAGTTCCAGGACTTAATTTTTTTGAAACCACTATAGTCTTTATAATAACGACAGGAAGCAGGTGTGTTTCAAATTGATTATGGTGCATGCACTCTTATTTGCCAAACTGTCAAATGATCAGAAAAAGACGGTGTAATAGAACTAAAAACTTTTTGTCTAACTACATAGAATGATCCTATAGGCTTGTATCTTAGATCTCGAAATTGGGTGGTTTAAGTTTGGAAAAGAGCATGTCACTCATTGAGTCATCCGAAACCTTCGATTACTATTGTCAGTTTGTGTGATGCATTTTCATCGTTTTGTTCATGCCCCTTTACAACAGGGCCAAAGCCTCATTGCCTGGTTTCAAAGTTCTTCCACTTCGCCAGTTTGGAAATTGGGGGCCAAAAATTATGACCATGTTTGATCCTCAAAAGGACACATACGTGATGGTATGTACAAACCTTTCGCCTATGTTCATTTCTGCTCGCTTATATGTTACAAAAGTTTGCTTGGCTGAAGGCATTTTCTGTTCTTCCCACAAGCCTCCTGTGAAAGAGAAATCAAAATTGAATAACTGCCTGTGTTTTCAGTTAAACTTATTCTCCAAAGTATAATAGTTTGTTAGTTTGTACAAGTTATTGTGGTTGAGACTGAAAGTGTGTTTCTCTTTGCAATACTGTTTCTTATGCAGTGTCATCATGGTATGCGGTCATTGCAAGTGGCCCAGTGGTTGCAAACACAGGTTGGGGTTCTTCTTTGGGTCTTGAAAGATACAAAATTCAGAACTCAATGTAGAATCAGAGCAATCGAATATTACTATTCTTCGCCAATCCAATGAACTTTAACAGACCATAAATGATAATATTATAAAAGCAAAAAGACCAAAAAAAAAAAAAAAACTTTTACAAATTACCTATAATGTTTTACCACAGAAGAAAATAACTGGATAATCCGGACACTCAAGATTTTATATTCAGTTGATCAATACCCTTCAGAGTTACTGGATATCCTTTCATTGCAGCCTGTGTTCACATTTATTATCACTTGTACTAATCCATGTAACTCTGTATTTTCAGGGGTTTAAGAAAATATTCAACGTGTCGGGAGGAATTCACGAATACGCCCTAAAGGTGGATCCATCTATTCCTACTTACTAAGTTACTGTCGACCTCGTGGAAGTTTCTATTTTTTCGCTGCATTTCCATATTCAACCCAAGCAGTTGCCCCAACTTTCTGTAGAACAGCAGACTGGTATACAGTTTGAGGCCTTGGTCGAAACTTTTGGCTCGGCACAGAAAATCTGTGATCCTTACAGGTCCCGACAAATATTTATCTATCGTTCGAAACATGGACTTTTTTGTCAAGTACCCACCGTCCAAAACGATTTGGTAGCATAAAAGGTTCACCTTATTTCTCTCATTCTGCATTACTCAGCCTTAAATGCACACTCACACTAACACACTTATCAGTCTCCTGTACTCAAGTTTACAAGTTCTTATCACAGCTAAGTTTGTATTTCTTTGGCAATTTATTCACTACGCCGTTATCAAATTCGTGTCCATATGAAAACGGGTTTACAAATTAACTTGTATGTTGATGGATTTAAATAACTCGCCTTTTCATGTGGACTGTATGAGATAATAAAAATAAGTACACTGAAAATTTTCTTTTTATTACGTAATTAAAAAAAAAAGGACCGCGATAAGACGCGCCAATCAGATCATGGTGAAGCTACTGACGAATCCATCTGGCGGAACAGATAAGAAATGGTAACCTAGCGATCCATCCGCAGCGAAGGAAGCTAAATGATTGAATGCAAATTCGCTTCACGGAATACATGTTTCACCTTGACGTTCCAAGGGCGACCTAGTAGATCTTTGATACCCTAGCGATCTGGCGGAACATATAAGAAATGGTAACCTAGCGATCCATCCGCAGCGAAGGAAGCTAAATGATTGAATGCAAATTCGCTTCACGGAATACATGTTTCACCTTGACGTTCCAAGGGCGACCTAGTAGATCTTTGATACCCAACACAAGGCCCGTATGATACCCAACATAAGGCGTAATATTATGTGATAAAGAAAGATAAGCATCGTTATACGCCATAGGCACTGCACTGCATAGTGCATAACATATGCAACCAACCAAAATGAGAATACCGAGATATTAGCAGCCGTAAATCCCTCACAGCCTCCTTTGATTTTCAACACACAAATAAATAAAATTGAGAATTATCTTCTCTCTTCCTAATTACTCCACCCGAAAAAGACAAATAACCAAATTTACACCCACACACACACATAACCGCTAATTTTGTTGGATATTTGGTGTCAAAATTACACGGGAATCCTACGAACTGATATGTATTTTCAGTTCTTACAAATAATCTAAAATAGAAAATTACAATTGAACTGAAAAATAAATTACAACTGAAAAAACGGAAAGATTTTAGCCGAGGCGAGTAAAACTCTTTCCGCAAGAAGAATACGCCCCGCGTGGCAGCTAACGGTTCAGGCGTAACTTCCCCAAAGATACAACGACAAACGTCTCTAAATCTGTAGCACACCAGATTTACTAGCTCCGGCGAACGGGAATGAAATCGAGAATTGAGCACTTAATAATAAAAAAAAATATTCTGAAACAAATAAAAATATCACTTGTTTTTTCTCTTTTGATATTTTTATATCCGATATTTGGACACATATTTTCTTTCCTTTCCCTTTTCTTTCTTTCTTCTCTCTTTCTTTCTTTCTTTCTTTCTTTCTTTCTTTCTTTCGGTACACTTTTCTCAATCTGACCAAGTGCCTTTTATAGAGAGGAGGAATCAGATAAAGCCTATTCTTACACATAAGAACACATGGAGTTAGTGGAATATTAGTTGTATATGAGAGAATAAATATATAAACAATTTAACAATCAATTAATATCCACACCCAACCACACAATAATTTACAAGAGATGCCTGACACATTAATTGAAGAGGTTGAGATTAGTTTGCCAAAATATTAAAATAACCAATTGTCCTAACCATTGACTTAACAAAATAATGTGGTGGATATCCAAATTAATTTTACACTCACAATTTTATAACAATCCCCCACATGAGTGTAAATTTTATACTATTGTGCTCAATCCTCAGTAAACTCTATTGCACCAGAAAAGGTAGCTTTTGACTTTGAACCTTTCTTAGTAAACATCATCGGATGCACTGGAGGACTAGTGGACATAATGCCTTGAACTATTCCTCCGTAGTGTACACCGAGACAATGACATTCACATAATAGAGTCTTAACTCCATTCCGTTCTATCGTTGTGTC